GATTTTTTTTGTTTCGATAATAAAAGGGATGTTTTTTTTTTATTTCTTCTTCTTCAGATTTATTGTTTGTGTATAGGAAGGCTACTGACTTTCGCGTGTTGATTTTGTATCCTGCCACTTTACTGTACTGATTGATGAGTTGAATTAGTTTTTCTGTGGAGTTTTTGGGGTTCTCTATGTATATTATCATATCATCTGCAAATAGTGATAGTTTGACTTCTTCTTTTCCTATTTGGATTCCTTGGATGTCTTTCTCTTGTCTTATTGCTCTGGCTAGGACTTCCAGTATTATATTGAAAAGCAGTGGTGAGAGTGGACATCCTTGTCTTGTTCCAGATCTTAATGGAATTGCTTTCAGCTTTTCACCATTGAGAATGATACTGGCTGTTGGCTTGTCATAGATGGCCTTTATGATGTTGAGGTATGTTCCTTGTATCCCAAGAGTTTCAAGGGCTTTTATCATGAATGGGTGTTGCACTTTGTCGAAAGCTTTCTCAGCATCTACTGATATTATCATATGGTTTTTATATTTCTTTTTGTTGATGTGTTGGATAATGTTGATTGATTTTCAGATGTTAAACCATCCTTGTGTCCCTGGAATGAATCCTACTTGGTTGTGGTGAATTATCTTATGGATACATTGTTGGATTCTGATAGCTAAAATTTTATTGAGGATTTTTGCATCAGTGTTCATTAGGGAGATTGGCCTGTAGTTTTCCTTTTTTGTGTTGTCCTTGTTCGGTTTTGGTATTAGTGTAATGTTGGCTTCATAGAACGTGTTTGGTATTGTCCCTTCCTTCTCAATTTTTGGGAAGAATTTGTGAAGGATAGGCACTAATTCGTCTCTGAATGTTTGGTAGAATTCATTTGTAAATCCATCAGGTCCTGGGCTTTTGTTTTTGGGGAGGTTTTTGATTACCATTTCAATTTCGCTGCTTATAATTGGTCTGTTTAGGTGTTCTATTTCTTCTTTATCTAGCTTTGGGTGATTGTAGAGTTGTAGGAATTTGTCCATCTCCTCTAGATTGTTGAACTTGTTTCCATATAACTGTTCATAGTAGTTACTGATTATTCTTTTGATTTCTGCTGTGTCCGTTGTGATTTCTCCCCTTTCATAGATGATCCTGTTTATTTGTGCTTTCTCCCTTTTTTCCTTTGTGAGCCTGGCTAGGGGTTTGTCTATTTTATTGATTTTTTCAAAGGACCAGCTCTTGGTTTCATTGATCTTTCGGATTGTTTTTTTAGTTTCAATTTCATTTATTTCTACTTTGGTTTTTATTATTTCTTTTCTTCTACTGGTTTTGGGGTTTTTTTGTTGTTCTTTTTCTAGATCTTTGAGCTTCGAGAGTAGATTGTTTCTTTGAGTTCTTTCTTGTTTCTTGATGTGAGCTTCTATTGCTATATATTTTCCTCTTATTACTGCTTTTGCTGCATCCCATACATTTAGGATACTGGTGTCCTCCTTGTCATTCAATTCAAAGAATTTTTTAATTTCTTCTTTGATCTCCTTTTCTTTGATCTCCTCTTCCAGTAGTGTGGTTTTTAATCTCCATGAGGTAGGAAAGTTCCTTGCCTTCTTTTTATGGTTTATTTCTAGTTTGATGCCTTCATGGTCAGAAAATATGGTTGGTATGATTTCAGTCTTGGTGTATCTGTTGATGTTTGTCTTGTGCCCCAGTATGTGATCGATCCTGGAGAATGATCCTTGTGCACTTGAGAAAAATGTGTACTCCGTTTTTTGGGGGTTCAGTGTTCTATAGATTTCTGTTAAGCCCAAATGCTCTAGGTCCTTATTTAGAGCTTTAGTTTCTTTACTTATTTTTTGTCTTGTTGATCTATCCATTGTTGATAGTGGTGTGTTGAAGTCTCCCACTACGTATGTGTTTTCTCTGATGTCTGTTTTCAGAGAGGACAACAATTGTCTGATATATTTTGGTGCTCCTTCGTTTGGTGAGTATATGTTAATGAGTGTTATTTCTTCTTGAAGTATTGTCCCCTTGATCATAATGTAGTGACCATTGGGGTCTCTTTTTATTTTTTTGAGTTTGAAGTCTGTTTTATCTGAATATAAGTATAGCTGTTCCTGCTTTCTTTTTTGGTCCATTTGCTTGTAGGATTGTTTTCCATCCTTTAACTTTGAGCCTATTTTTATCTTTTGTAGCTAAATGTGTTTCCTGGAGACAGCAAAAGGTTGGGTTTTGTTTCTTAATCCAGGCTGCAACTCTGTGTCTTTTTATTGAAGAGTTTAGTCCATTTACATTTAGAGTTAATATTGATATGTTAGCATCTGTATTTGCCATTGTGTTTGTCTTTCCTTTGATTTTATTTATTCTTTTAATAACTTTTTTTTTTGGCCTTCTTTCGTTGTTATTCGTCCCTCTGAGGTTCTGGCTTTAGGATTCCTTGTAGTATTTTTTGGAGTGGGGGTTTAGTCTTAATGAAATTCCAGAGTTTCTGTTTGTCTGGGAAGGTCCTTATTCTTTCTTCATAGAGGAAGGAGAGCTTTGCGGGATAGAGTATTCTTGGTTGGCATCTGTTTTCTTGGAGTCTGTTGACTATGTCCCTCCATTCTCTCCTTGCCCGTAGTGTTTCTTCAGAGAAGTCTGATGTCAGCCTGATTGGTTTTCCTTTGAATGTTATCTGTTTCTTCCCTCTTGTCAGCTTCATTATTTTTTCCTTGTCCTGGATTCTTGGGAGCTTTACTATTATGTGTCTTGCTGTATTTTTCCTTTCGTCATGGAAGTTTGGTGTTCTTCTTGCTTCTTGTATATCAATTTTCAGCTCCTTCTTCACATTTGGGAAGTTCTCTTCAATTATCTCCTGGAATATTTTCTCTGTTCCTACATCTTTCTCCTCTCCTTCTGGTATTCCTATAACTCTTATATTTCCTTTCCTCATGGAGTCAGATAGTTCCCGAAGTCTTTCTTCGTTCTTTTTCCTTCGTACATCTCTTTCCTTTTCTGTTTTGGTTCTTTTTATTTCTGTGTCTTCAAGAGTACTTATTCGTTCTTCCATTTCATCTATTCTGCTTTCATTGCTTTTCCCAGAGTTCTTTAGTTCCTCCTTTAATTCTTTGATCTCCTGCGTTTCTTTTGCTTCCCTCTTTAGGGACTCAATTTCATTCTTTGATCGTTGATTATTTTTCTCATATCATTCAACAATAAATTTTTTAATGGACAGATGATCTGAATAGATACTTCTCCAGAAAGGACACACAGATAGCCACCAGGAATATGAGTAAATTCTTATCATCCCTTATTATTAGGGAAATGCAAATCAGAACCACAATCAGATGTCATCTCACACTATTGACAGTGACTTACATAAAAAAAAAAAAAAGACTATAACAATGAGTAGACAAGAATGTAGAGAAAAAGGAACCTCATACACTGTTGGAGGGAATGTAACTTGGTGTGACCAAGTATGTACCGTTCTCAAAAAAAAATAAATAAATAAAGGTAAAATCACATGATACAGCAATCCCACTTCTGGGTATCTATTAACAAATGTGAATTTATTAACTTGCAAGAGTTATCTGCACCACAGTGTTTGTTGTAGTATTATTTACAGTAGTAAAATATGGAAACTCACTGACAGATTTGTGGACAAAGAAGATGTGATGTATACATACAGTAGAGTACTATTCAACTATAAAAAGTAAATGAGATTTTGCCATTTGCCACAAATGGAAGGAACTCAAGGGGATTAATAAGGAGACAAAACACATTAATGAACACAACAAAATAAAAATAAGCCAGTGCATGTCAACAAAACTGAGGTTATCAGAGGGGAACAGAGTGAGTGTAGAGGGTGGCTGGGAGTAAGGGTGGAAGTGTCTGATCAACAATGACTGATGTTTCATATTGTTAAATAATTTAAAAATCAAAAATAAAGGAGAAAATGGTCCAAATTATACAGCCATTAGTTGATTCTGTAAAAAGTAGATTAAATTCATAGAAGTAGTAAAGAAATGAAGACTGAGATGTTGCCTATTGTCATGAAACAGTTGAATGTTTTTAAAAATAATTTCTCTAGTGTATAATGAGAAAATGCAGTATATGTTGCAAGTAACGAAATACGTGAAGTGTTAAGTAGGAGAGGTTTTAAGACATCATTAACATCAAAAAGACAATTGATACCAACTTACATATGGTTGTAAAAAATACATATTTGCTAGGTCTCTAGTCTCAAAAAATCGTTATATATTGCTTTCTTTTAAAATAACACAAGAACTTGAAGTTCTTATCTACTATTTAATCTGTTTGATACCTATAATTTTCCTACTAGTATTTTTACAAATACCAATTTTTGTTTTTTAAACAATCTAGTGCATTAGCTTAATAGGATTTAAGACAAACTTTTCCTGATATATTTAGTCCTATCATAGTGTCATTGATGTTGAAAAAATTTTAACTAACTGCCTATCTAAATAAATTCAAAGTATATTTTTTGTCATTGTTAGATTTCTAAGAAATAGCATGGAAATGGTTTTCCTGTCAAAAATTATAAACACTACTGTAGGGTAAGTGTTTTTCAGGCTTTTCTGCCCTCCCACCTTAGGTTTGCCCTGCCTGGTGGGGCACCTGCAGTTGTTGCATTGTTACAAACTGTCTTATTTACCACTGTGGGCCATGGGAGGGGTATTGAGATAGTCACCAAGAGAAGCAGAAGCAACAGAGAGAGGCAGGAGAGAGAAGGGGAGAAAGAAGGCCAGAGTAGCCCAGAGTGAAGACTTGGGGGGGCAGGCCTTGGAGGCCTCATAGTATCCTGCCCCCCCCCCACCTGCCATGTACCTGTTTGCCACACCGCATGTAAAGCTCAATAAAAGCCCGAGAAAGCCACCCAGGCCTCCAAGACTCTCCTATACCCCTCAGCCAGATCAGAAAACCTGTTCCGTGCCCATCCTGCCCCTACAAATACATATCACAAAAAAAGGGTATTGTAGAGATCATGTATTTGACATTCCTCTGAAGTTTTTCATTATTTTAAATCTTCCACAGGGAAAAATGGATTGCCCTGGAGAACAAATAAGGCTAATAAGGCTATCAATTAGGAGTTCACTTCTGACCTCTGCATGACCCCAGGTAATTAGGTTTGACCTTTCTGTGACCTTGATGACCTCTGCATGACCCCAGTGCCTAGGAAAATCCACTCAGAGCTCACTGGCCCCTTCATGAACCCAGTGGCCTCTGCATGACCCCAAGTAATTAGATTTGACCTCTCTATGAACTCACTGACCTCTTCATGACCCCCAAGTAATTAAGACTGACCTCTCGGTGAACTCACTGACTGCTTCAGGACCACTAGTGATTAGGAGAACCTGGATATGTAAACTCGTATAAACTATTTTCTCTAAAGTTTTTCATCTTCCAGTATGTTTTATTTTTCCTATAACCTGGATGCAATGAAGTCAACACTAAGGGTTTGCAGGCCCTTATGCTTCCCATTATGGAGCCTGCAACAACCGATAAGATGATGCCTTTGCTGGAACAAGTTACAGGCAAGTCTGGTCAGTGTATGTCTTGGGGCCATTGCCTGTGGGGTAGGGAAGCACACATTACGCATAAACCTTTGCAGTGTGGCTGATGGCCAGATAATGTTGCTATCCAGATATTTCCTTATAACTGTTTCCTAACCAGACTCCCCGAGCTGGAAGCATCTGAGGAATTGCTTAACCAGGACTCAGGTAACACTGCCTGTGTGACTGTATAACACCAAACTGAATTTTAAAAGGAAAAAAACAAGTTATTTGAATGCTTCCAAATAAGAGGATGTTTTCGATATTATGTTTAACAAAAAAACCTAGCATTTATTAACTACATATAATATGCTGGAGACAGCACAATGAGGATACTGAGGCTGGCTGATACTAGCTCCACCTACATTACTTCCCAGTAAATCGAGCCTTTGCGGGCCTCCCTGGTGGCTCAGGGGGTTAAGACGAAGCCTATGAAGCTGTCCTTAGCCTCTGCAGCGTGAGTTCGATCCCTGGCCAGGGAGCTACATACCTGGCGCAGCAGACCTCTCCTGTCTCGCCCGCTGCTCCCCTCAGCAGTGTATTTCAGTAGATCTACCTGTTCTGTTCCCTACTCTGTCTCTGGTAAATCCTCTCACCCCCACACCTCTGGCCTGTACCCCAGTTCTTGTATGCATAAATAAATAAATCTTTAAAAATCAATCAATCAATCGAGCCTTTGCTGGAATTCACGCTAGTCAAGCCCCTGCTGTTCCTCACACAATTCTCTTCAGCCCTGGTGGCGGCCATAGGTCAGCAGCCAGTGTCCGGGCCTAGTTTCTGGGTCTCAATTAGCCACTCCGCCCCCACAACCCCAACACAGTCTCTGCCCTTTCACTCCTCCCCCAGCCTCCCGTAGAGCCTGGAAATGAAGCCCAAATGCAGAGCAGGGCTGAGTGGTCTAAGAGACCAATTTATGGAAATTTTGTTCAAGCATCTGATGTTTTTATTTGATGACATGAACCAGTCATTTCAAGATTTTGCCTTTCCCTGTTTGCGTTGGGCTCAGGGGCCAAGTTTAGATTACAGGCAGTGTGGTAGGTAACCTTCACCTCAGGCTTACCTGAGGGAGAAACCGAGGAACAGGTTACATCCAAACTAGAAGAGAGGAAGAACGCTTGGCTTCCTCTTCCTACGACTTCATGTACCCCAGACCTTCTTTAGCAGTGCAGATTCTCATGCCCCTGGCTGTCTGCAGCAGTGGATTTCATCAGGACTCACTGCACCCCTTCAGGCAGAGACAGGGGATGTCTTGAGATGATCAGGGGATGTCTTGAACTTCAGGCAGAGACAGGGGATGTCCTGGCCAACAAAGCTCCCCTGGGGCGGCCTCAGCTTCACTGGGATGCACTTAGGCTTCCAGCCCAGACAGACCTTTGGGGTCTAATAAACACCTTGTTCATGAGAGTAAAATGAAGGTTCTGTTATTCCAGGAATAACAATCAGGATGGAGAAAGCTCAGCAACTGGAAAATCAGTCTCCGCAGCAGTAAGACCCATGGAAGATGTGGGATCAGATCCTGGTTCTTCCACTCCCTCCTGTGTCTGTGCAGCCTTCTGTGTGAAAGGAGACCAACAGCAACACCACTCAGAATCAAAGAATTGATACTCTTATGCAGCAGCCTCAGTAAGCCAGGTAAGCCTCTAGCAAACACCCCATGGCTCTTTCAATTGGCCAGCACAGAATTTTTTAAATAAACCAGCCACTGTTCATAATTGGGACATTTTACATAAAAATCCAGTTTTTGCCTTCCTTTGAAAAGAAACACAATTTAGGGATGCTGGCTAGCACTGCAACATAAATGTCCCCTTTGTCCAAGAATGAGAAGCCAATGTGCCTTCCAGGAGCCCATCCCGCACACCTGCTTACCGCAGCTGAACCTGGGGTGGATTCTCGCGACCATTCAGCATCTCACACTGTGTCTCAGAGCAGAGAACTATAACTCTATTATCCCCTCCGAAGTGGGGAAGCAAAAGGTCACACCAGAGGCCCATGTCATTCCCATCCCCACTTCTCATACTGCCCACCAGTCTCGCTCATGACTGAACTCCTTGGCGCAGAGGCATCTGAAATTGCAGACACAGCTATAAATGCAAATTGCTACATAAAATTCATGGTTGATAGAGAGGAAATGAGAATCAAGACTCAAGTTCTGTTGGTTGAGATACCAAACCTAGGGTATCTCCCCACAGCGGGGAAAGTGAGAGATTGGCAGCTGGACTAGGGGGTTGGGCAGGAGGGGAGGTCAGTACAGGGCCAGGATCAAGGACAGAGGGAAGCAAGTACAGAAGCAAGAAACACAGAATATGAGGACCAGGTAGTAGATCTGGGGGTGCCGATGTCCTAAATCCAGGAGGTGGTATGAACAGGTCCTACTGACGGTGGACAGGAAACCAGGTGGAAACATGAAGGCTGGGTGCCACTCTAGTGGGTGACCATGTGGAACCCACAGGCAGCCAGATTTGGTCTTCAAACATTTACAGGGAAGTCCATGTGAATTTAGTTTTATCCTTTGACAAAGGAAATACAAGTTCTCAGTAAATATCTGAGAAGTCTATCAAGCTTCATAAAATTTCAGCCTGGTGAGTGAGCCTGCCAGTGTTTCTTATAAGGCACACTCAGCACAGAGTCCTGGTTCTCAAACTTGAATGATATGAAGGTCTTACAAGACAGAGCATGATGGATAGTCACGAGCCTTACGCTCATGTTTAAACCATGGTTTGAAAATTGGTGATGCCCCAGCGCTGATGCAGATGGTGACTATGCACAGAGGATATGGGTTGATTCTGCATATTTTAAGACGTTTGTTGGCAAACATTCTTTAATTGAGTGTGTAGGGTTTGCAGGCCCTTATGCCTCCCATTGTGGAGCCTGCAACAACCGATAAGATGCTGCCTTTGCTTGACCCTGGAACAAGTTACAGGCAAGTCTGGTCAGTGTATGTCTTGGGGCCATTACCTGTGGGGTAGGGAAGCACACATTACGCATAAACCTTTGCAGTGTGGCTGATGGCCAGATAATGTTGCTATCCAGGTATTTCCTTATAACTGGTTTCCTAACCAGACTCCCCGAGCTGGAAGCATCTGAGGAATTGCTTAACCAGGACTCAGGTAACACTGCCTGTGTGACTGTATAACACCAAACTGAATTTTAAAAGGAAAAAAACAAGTTATTTGAATGCTTCCAAATAAGGGGATGTTTTCAATATTATGTTTAGCAAAAAAACCTAGCATTTATTAACTACATATAATATGCTGGAGACAGCACATTGAGGATACTGAGGCTGGCTGATACTAGCTCCACCTACATTACTTCCCAGCAGGCCTCCCTGGTGGCGCAGGGGGTTAAGACGAAGCCTATGTAGCTGTCCTCAGTCTCTGCAGCATGAGTTCCATCCCCGGCCAGGGAGCTACCCACATGGCACAGCAGACCTCTCCTGTCTCGCCCGCTGCTCCCCTCAGCAGTGTGTTTCAGAGGATCCGCCTGTTCTGTTCCCCACTCTGTCTCTGGTGAATCCTCTCGCCCCCACACCTCTGGCCTGCACCCCAGTTCCTGTAGGCATAAATAAATAAATCTTTAAAAATCAATCAATCAATCAATCAATCGAGCCTTTGCTGGAAGTCACGCTAGTCAAGCCCCTGCTGTTCCTCACACAATTCTCTTCAGCCCTGCTGGTGGCCATAGGTCAGCAGCCAGTGTCCAGGCCTAGTTTCTGGGTCTCAATTAGCCACTCCGCCCCCACAACTCCAACGCAGTCTCTGCCCTTTCACTCCTCCCCCAGCCTCCCGGAAACCAAAAGAAGAACTCATAGGACCGTCACGGGTCCAGTCACTTGCAGTATCCTGACACTTGGCCACTGCCGGGGTTTTGCAAAGGGAAGTAACACTGACGTCACAGAAACATAGAAGTGAAAAAGACTTGAAGGGTTTGTCTCATGTAGGCACCTCCATGAAACAAGACACAGCTCTTTCTCCCAGAAGAGCCAGAAATAGATTCCACCTCCTCAGTAGTTTCTGTCAGCATTGTGTCTCCAGATAAGAAGTTCCCAGCTCCAGTTCTGATTTAACCTCAGTCTGTTATTTGTTCATAACAACAGATGAAGCAGTCAGCATCACATCAATCGGTTTCCAAAATCTTAAAGATAAGTGTGATTATTAGTCTTTCCATTTCGGATCCACAGAGCACAGTGATTTATCTCTGTGCTCTTTGCACAGTTTCTACACGGCAGGAGGCATATTATACCATTTGCGGTTTTTCCACTATTTTTTCCAATTGTTGCTTCCTAGTCTTCACTAGTCTTCACCCCTGTTATCGAGTTACAGATCGATATTGCCATGACTTTGCAGTGTCCCGACTAGAATTAATTCCTCACCCTTTGATGCCTGCCTTGCCTGGACGACAGGATGTTAGCAACAATGATCAATGATGTAACAGAGGCTTCCAATGTTGTTTGCATGATTTGAGTGGGCTTCTTGTGTTTCTGCTATCATAATGAGAGTTAGGTAGTGCCAGCCCCAGGAAGAGCCAGTTCCAGAATGAGATATAGAAAGAAGCCAAGAGTGCACTTAAAACACAGAGACGTATTTAGCTGAGGCCAGCCAAGAGCAGCTGAATCTCAGTCAACTGTGAGCAAGAAAATGAATGCCCGGGGTATAAACCACCTGAGATTTGGATGTTATTTGTTATACAACATTATCACCAAAGCAAGGTCTAATTCAGACTCATCCAGATTATTCCCTGGTCACTGCATGGAGACCCGTTAAGACAACTTCTTCCATGAGAAGGTCCCTGGTTATTTCAGCCCCTCTACAACTTGACCATTCAAAATTTTTATGTTTGGGTGCTGAATTTGGGCACCTTTTTGCATTCAATATGATACTTTCTAAAACTCAGCTTGATAAATTATTTAAAATGTTCATATTTGAGATTATTAGTAAGACATGAAGTCTCTGAGAGAAGTCGCCCAATGCATATTACATA